TACCCTTGGTTGATTAGCCCTTCTGGAGTCTGCATCCTGCCCTAATTCTCTGGGGGCTCTGACCTCCGGGGTGCTGGATGTGATATATTCCTTTGGATACTAAACACCCTCTGAAGAGCCCTAGTATGGGAGACAGAACACAGGGTCTGGATCTCAGCTCTGCTACTGACTCACTGTGTGACCTTCACCATGACCTTCCTGGCTTCAGTTGCTCCATCTGTCCTGCCTCTTCCCTGCCAGACTTGGAACCTGCTCCTTAAACTGGGGTATGTTTGAAAGGGGTTTGGTTCAGTTCAGTTGCTCAGTCAAGTCCGACTCTTTGCGACTCCATGGACTACAGCACATCAGGCCTGCCTGTCCATCACCAGCTCCCAGAATTTACTCAAACTTATGTCCATTATGTTGGTGATGCCATCCAACCATCTCATCCTCTGTCATCCCCTTCTCCCCCTGCCTTCAATCTTTTCCAGCATCAGGGTCTTTTCCAATGAGTCAGTTCTTCGCATCAGTATATCAGGCCAAAGTATTGGAGTTTCAGCTTCAGCATCAGTCCTTCCAATGAACATTCAAGACTGGTTTCCTTTAGGATTGACTGGTTGGATCTCTTTGCAGTCCAAGGGACTCTCAAGAGTCTTCTCCAACACCACAGTTCAAAAGCATCAGTTCTTCGGCACCCAGCTTTCTTTATGGTCCAACTCTCACATCCATACATGACTTCTGGAAAAACCATAGCCTTGACTAGACGGATCTTTGATGGTAAAGCAACGTCTCTGCTTTTTAATATGCTGTCTAGGTTGGTCATAGCTTTTCTTCCAAGGTGCAAGTGTCTTTTAATTTCATGATTGCAGTCACCATCTGCAGTGATTTTGGAGCCCAAGAAAATAAAATCTGTCACTGTTTCCATTATTTCCCCATCTATTTGCCATGAAGTGATGGGACCAGTGCTTATTTAACTTATATGCAGAGTACATCATGCGAAATGCCAGGCTGGATGAAGCATAACCTGGAATCAAGATTGCCGAAAGAGAAATATCAATAATCTCAGATATGCAGATGACACCACCATTATGGCAGAAAGAGAAGAAGAACTAAAGAGCCTCTTGAAAGTGAAAGAGGAGAGTGAAAAAGTTGGCTTAAAATTCAACATTCAAAAAACGAAGATCACGGCATCTGGTCCTATCACTTCATGGCAAATTAGATGAGGAAACAATGGAAGCAGTGACAGACTTTATTTTCTTGGGCTCCAAAATCACTACTGATGGTGACTGCAGCCATGAAATTAAAAGATGCTTGCTCCTTGGAAGAAAAGCTATGACCAACCCAGACACCATATTAAAAAGCAGAGACATTACTTTACCAACAAAGATCCATTTCACCAAAGCTATGGTTTTTCCAGTGGTCATGTGTGGATGGGAGAGTTGGACTATAAAGAAAACTGAGCACTGAAGAATTGATGCTTTTGAACTGTTATGTTGGAGAAGACTCTTGAGAGTCTCTTGGACTGCAAGGAGATCCCACCAGTAAATCCTAAAGGAAAGCAGTTCTGAATGTTCACCGGAAGGACTGACACTGAAACTCCAATACTTTGGCCACCTGATGCGAAGAACTGACTCATTGGAAAAGACCCTGATGCTGGGAAGGATTGAAGACAGGAGGAGAAGGGGACGACAGAGGATGAGATGGTTGGATGGCATCACTGATGCGATGGACATGAGTTTGAGTAAATTCTGGGAGTTGGTGATGGACAGGGAGGCCTGGCGTGCTGCAATCCATGGGGTCGCAAAGAGTCGGACACGACTGAGGGACTGAACTGAACTGAAGGGACCAGATGCCATGATCTTAGTTTTCTGAATGTTGAGCTTTAAGCCAGCTTCTTCACTTTCCTTTTTCACTTTCATCAAGAGGCTTTTTAGTTCATCTTCACTTTCTGCCATAAGAGTGGTGTCATCTACATATCTGAGGTTATTGATATTTCTCCCTGTAATCTTGATTTCAGCTTGTGCTTCATCCAGCCTGGTATTTCACATGATGTACTCTGCATATAAGTTAAATAAGCAAGGTGACAGTATATAGCCTTGACATATTCCTTTCCCAATTTGGAAACAGTCTGTTTTTCCATGTCTGATTCTAACTGTTGCTTCTTGATCTGCATACAGATTTCTCAGGAGGCAAGTAAGGTGGTCTGGTATTCCAATCTCTTTAAGAATTTGGTGACAACTTCTGGAGAAAAATTAAGTAGAGAGGAAGGATGGAAAGCTTTTGGGGAGGGTGGTGGAATCCCTCGAGATGACTTTTGAGCAGAAATTTGAAGGAGAGGAGGAAGTAAACCATGGGGATGTCTGAGGGAAGAGTGTTTAGGCAGAGGGAACAGAGAGTGCAAAGGCTCTGAGGCAACAATCTCATTGATCCATCTCGCTCAACTTTGAGTTGTAAACCACCATTGTACCCCTTTCATCCTGGAGTGAGAAGTCAAAGATGTCTGGCTGTACGTGAGTGATCACACCGTCGTGGTTATCTGGGTCATTAAGATCTTTTTTGCACAGAAGAACTATTCAAGAAGGATATTCCTCCTCTCCTTCAGCTTTCTGCTCAAAATTCATCCAGGGGATTCCACCTCCCTCCCAAAAAGCTCCCCATCCTTCCTCCCTACTTAGCTTTTCTTCAGAAGTTGTCACCACCTAGCACACTATATATTTTAATTGGATGTTATAGTGACTTATTTTGCTCAGTGCCTTTCCCCCTTGTCTGGAATACAAGTTTTACGAGGAGAGGGATTTTTCTCTGTTTTGTTTGCTGCTATGATCCTGACACCTAAAACATAGGAGCATAGAAGATGCTTGATAAATATTTGTTAAGTGAATGAATGAATGAATAATAACTGACTCATGGCAAGTACTTAAACCACAGCACCCAACACTAGATACTTAATTGATGATATTTTCTGTCATGCTGATTGTCGTCATCATTGATAGGTGATGTAGCCAAAAGGGATTGGGTCTGGCCTTTGGGCTGGTTGGATGCCTGCCTCCTCACAGGAACCTTCAGGTCCACTCTAATCCAAGCTGACTGCACTTGCTCAGATCTGCAGTGGTTATCATGCAGGGAAGTTGAATAAGCCCTAGACTTGGAATCTGCCAGTTTGGGCTTCACTTCCCAGCTCCTCTGTTCTTGGATGGGTGGCTATGTACACAATTATGTCCTGTCTCTGAGTCTCAGTTTCCTAACAGTCAATGGGGAGAATATGAGTGGCTATCCCATAAGATGATGTGGGCCTCAAAGTGATGGGTCATCCATGGTATTGGGTGCACAGCTGGCCATGGCTGTGCTGCCTGGGACTTAGGCACACATGCTCTCTGCTCTGTTCTGTGGGCCAGCCTGCTTCATTTGTTGGACTGTAAGGCCCTGGAGGGACTTGAACCTGATCCTCTTGGTCCCTTGTCTTCCCAATAGCCTGAGGTTGAAGTTGAAGCTGCAGTACTTTGGATACCTGACGCAAAGAGCCGGCACATTGGAAAAGACCCTGATGCTAGGAAAGATTGAGGGCAGGAGGAGAAGGGGGCAACAGAGAATGAGATGATCAGATAGTATCACTGACTCAATGGACATGAGTTTGAGCAAACTCCAAGAGATAGTGAAAGACAGGGAAGGTTGGCGAGCTGCAGTCCATGAAGAGTGGTGTCAAAGGGTCAGGCACGACTTGACATCTACTGGCCTGCACCTGTAATGTGGAGATGCATCCCATCGGCTGATGGATTGACACTATCCTGACTGTGCTTCTGGGTACCTGACAGCTACAGCCACCAGGGGGCGCCCTGGCTATGTGCACAAAAGGCTGCCCCGGGGTTGGTAACTTTTAACTTCTGCTATTCCCTTCACAGACAAGGCAAGGCTTGGTCCCTACCCCAACCTGTCAGCTATTTCTGCCATTCTGGTGGAGAAAGAGACCAGGAGACTCGGATTCCCAGCCTGGCTTTGCTGTTTACATGCTGTGTGATCTTGGGGGAAAAAACCTCTCCCTCTTCGGACCTCAGTTTCCTCAGCTGTCAAATTAAGAATACCAGCCATGGTATCCTATCACGTTGTGGGAACCAGAGTTTGTCTCAACTTGCTTTTAGTCAATAACTGTGTTCGTGCCGTCCACAAAGTATTTCCTCCTTTTCCTCCTAATTCCTTCTTCCTGATGCCTGGAGCGAGGTCTTGCCTTATCATACATGCTGCCCTCTGTTGGCTGGCAGGAGAACTACAGCTTCAGGGACAGCCCGCAAGGTGGTTCCCGGGAAGAAGTCAGAGCTGGGGAAGTGTTGGAGGCCAGTACTATCAGGCCAGTGATTCCCTTAACCGACATTTATTGAGCTCCTTCTGCATACCAGGCCTAATGCTAGACCCTGAGAAAACGGCAATGAAAACGGCACAGCCTGTGCCTTCAAAGAGATCACAGTCATTGCAGGGTTTGCACATCTAGGGGTGGGGAGAGGGGTTCTTCCGCCTGCTCCATACTTCTCTGATCTGACACTGGAGTGTAGAGGCTAAGAGCATGGATTCACATCTGTTGTAATGATGCCTGGGTTCAAACCTTGGCTTTGTCATTTACTAGGCCTGACCTTGGACCTCCTCAGTGCCTTTGTTTCCCCGACTACCAAGTAAAATAAAAATACTACTCGTTTCGTAGAGTTGCTGATAGGGTTGAAGTAGTCATACCTCTCAAGTCCTGAGAACAGTGCCCACTCAGTGCTGGATAGGTGTCAGCTACAATAATAATGAAAACATATCTGTGGGACGATGAAAGGAACAGCATTCAATCTTAATTGGATCAGAGCTTGCCCGCATGAGCTATCTCTAAGCAGGTCTTTTATGAGGGTCAGAGCAGTTGAGTGCATTTTGCAGTGGGCGTTTTCAGTTCAGAATGGCCCCGCTCACCTTAGAGCATGGATATTTGTTTTCATCCCACCCTTGGGCTGGCCCCACGGGGCTCTACATGAGGTCTGAGCTGGGCATCCCAGCTGCCACCAGCAGGGGCAGGGTGACTGTGGAAACAGGGTGGCTGACGCGGTCTGTAAGGGCGATCCCGTGCTGATGGTGATGCTCGCGATCCTGGTGGTGCTGCTGATGGTGATGCTGATAGCAGCACTGTTAGTCACACTGACGATGGGGATGATGGTGCTGATGGTGCTGGTGCTGATGGTGACGGTGATATTGGTGATGCTGGCAGGAGCTCTGGGGCTTGGTACAGGGGACCTGACCTAACTTTCCTTTCTCCAAATCTCCTCAAGCCTCAGCCACCCTCAAAGTCCCGGGACAAGGAGATGGGATACAGATCCCCTCTGAACTCCCTAGGGGCTATTTTTGAGTCTGAAAATGGCAGTCGTAATTGAAGCCCTAAGTTGCCTTCCTCAGCCTCCCTATAAGGGCTGGGAGACAACTCATGTATTTCGGCTTTAGTTTCTCCTCCTGTGAAATAGGAAAGGGGAGGGATGCACACTGATTCTGAAGTTTAAAATTTCGCTGTGAAGATTTGATGAAATCTGGACCCTCCTCTCAGGAAATGCAGACACACACATGCAACCAAAGTGCCACACACACTGACACACAATCACACACACACAAAGAACCATACATACGTTCAACCGCATGCACATAACCACAAGTCTGTGCGATCTGGGAGTTTCCAGCTCTTCTTCAGGTCCACAGACCCCAGTTCTATCCCCTGGATGGGCTAATCTCTGTCTGTCAGTCCTGTTATCTGTGACTCCCTGGTCCGAGGCCCTCTCTCCTGAAGCCCAAGCCAGGCCTGGGTGGCCTGGGCCAGGTGGCACCAGGGAGGCCTGGTGTGGACAGGCTGCCCCTGTCTGATCCAGCCTGCCCGTTCCTCTGGCCCCCACCAGAAAGGCAGCTTGCGCTTGTGGTCCTAGGCATGTCCTCTTGGCCTATAGGAGAGGAGGAGTTGGTGGGTAGGATCCACGAGCTGAGGGGTGGGTGTCAGTGGTGATAGCATCTCTGGCTACTGATGTGGGCAAAGTGAGTTTTTCACACTCGGCCCCACCAGGAACATGGCCTCTGGTGGTGACTCAGTGGATTCAGGGAAAGAGATTTGCATTTGCCACTGTTGGTGGCACGGTGGTGAGCATAGCTGTCTTTCACGCAGTTCACCCGGGTTCGATTCCTGGCCAGTGCAGCTTGCGTGGGCTTCCCTGATGGCTCATGGTAAAGTCTTCCTGCCAATGCAGGAGATGTGGGCTCGATCCCGGGGTCAGGAAGGTACTCTGGAGAAAGAAATAGCAACCCACTACAGTATTCTTGCCTGGGAAATCCCATGGACGTAGGAGCCTGGTGGGCTACAGTCCATGGGGTCGCAAGAGTCAGATATGACTAAGAGACAGAACAGAACCAGGCAGCTTTCTGGGGCCCAGAACGTTCGTTATACGTAGAGCCTCGGGTAGGGGGCAGCAAAGAGAACAATGAACCACAAGATCCGGGTTCCAGTCTGATTCCACCTTAGCTAAAAAGCCGTTCATGGTCACAGCCTATTACAGTTTGCAACACATCCCCAGCGTGAATCATCATAGGTGAGACCCACTGGAACCCTGGGAAGTACAGCTTGCTCCCTCACTGCAGAAAAAGGCTCAGAAAGGCTGATCGACTTGACCAAGGTCCCATCACACCGGAGGCCTTGAACCCAGTCCTGGCTCCCAGTCCAGGGCTCTTTCCAAAACCTCAGAACCCTTGCTATAGCTGACCGCGGAAATGGGAGCAACTGCCCTCCCTCTCCAGATATTGGACCCAGGGAGCCCTGGGAGCCTTTCCAGCCCTGACCTTTTAGGACTGCCCGTTTTCATTCTCTGAGGCAGCAGGTGGGGGGATTATCGCCCCATTTCACAGATGGGGAACAGGTCCAGACGGGGAAGCCACTTGGCCAAGGCGGAGGAAGTGGCCGAGGTGGGATGAGAAACCGGGTCTGCAGACCCCCAGCCACAGAGCCCGGGGCCCCAGGCCGAGCTGAGTTTCTAAGAATAAAGCCAGCTCCCAGAACAGACCAGAGAACAGGGACTTTTGGGCCCAGCTGTTTCCCAAGTGTGAGCTCGGGCAGGGCCGGCTCGCTGGGGGGGCGGGGGGTGGGAAGGGGCGACCACTTCCTGCTCGGGCTGGCGCGGTCCCCATGAGGTGGTCATCAGAGGCCGACCACTTCCCGGTCTGGGCCGCCTTCCCCTTTCTGAGCCTGGGAGGGGACGGGCGGCCCAGCGAGGCGCCCCTTGCGTGCTGCGGCCTGGACGGCGTCTGGCCTCTTTTCATTTCCCCCGCTTGCCGCGTCCCTCTCCACAGCCACCAACGGTCGGAAGTTGCGCAGGGCAGCCTTGCGCCGTCCCCTGTCCCCGGCTCTGCGTGTGTGCTGGGCCCTCGGGGGTGCTGCCCATGGAGGGTCTGCCGAGAGGCCATCTCACTCCCCTCTGAGTCTCAGAGAGGGGATTGGCGACCCCGGGTCACACCGCGAGTAAGCGGCAGAACCAGTTAGAACTCAGGTGGGCCTGCCTTCAAAATCTCCATCCTTTGTACGTTTAACGTTCCCCAGGTGCCCCCAGACAGAAGTCTGAGCCAGAAGGGGCTTGGACGTGAAAGGCATTGGAAGGATCCCACCGGCCCTGAGCCCTGAGGGCAGCGAGGGCGGCTGCTTCTCCTCCCTGTTCTGTCCTAGAACCCGATCCCCGTGCCTGCTCTGGAGCAGGACCCCGGGGACATATGGAAAGACGAAAGGCACCCCGCCACCTGCTCCCAGCCAACTCCACAGATGCGTGAGAGCCCTGGGTTTGGGGACACGGACCCAAGGGAGACGTGTTCCCTTACCCCTTACCCCATCATCCTTATACAGGCGCAGTGCTCCACATGTTCTGTTTTTTAAGTTTTATTTATTTTTTGGCTGTGCCTCATGGCATGCAGAATCCTAGTTCCCCAACCAGGGATCAAACCCAGGCCCCTCACAGTGGAAGCGCAGAGTCTCAATCGCTGCACTGCTTGCGAAGTCCCTGAGGATTTTTAAATATGCCTCAAGTCCCATGTAGGAGATCACAACACCCTATATATGTAGTCCTTCTGGCAGGGAAGCCAGAGGCTCATAGAGTCTCAGAGTGTTAAGGAGGCAGCTGACAGCAGGGATACAGAGCATGGAGCCAGACCGGGCCCCCTTCAAACCCCAGTACTTCCCAGCTGAGGGTGGCCTTGGGGAGACTTCATGCACCAGTTTCCTCACCTGCAAAATGGATACAAAGCAGCAGAGATGGCCTTAACCAGCCGCCACCCGATGGATTCTCTGGGTTTATAAACATTCTCCCTTCCTCTGAAAGGCAGACTAGTGGGTGTCTCAGCGTTCTGAGCGTTCCGGGCTGGCGGCCACTTTCCAATGCCATCAACTCCTCCGGCTGGCTCAGGGAGGCCTGTCCTTGAATCTGTAGCTGCCAGTTGTAACTTAAACCAACGCAACGTGAGTGAGAGCGGGACAAAGAGTTGATGTGTCTCTGAAAACTAAGAAAGGGCCTCAGAAAGATCCAACAGAGGAGAACTGTCCAAAAAAGAAGAGAAATGCTGAATTATAAATTAGGGCTTCCCTGGTGGCTCAGATGGTAAAGCGTTCGCCTGCAATGCAGGAGACCTGGGTTCAATCCCTGGGCTGGGAAGATCCCCTGGAGAAGGAAATGGCAACCCAGTCCAGTATTCTTGCCTGGAAAATTCCATGAACAGAGAAGCCTGGTAGGCTACAGTCCATGGGGTTGCAAAGAGTTGGACACAACTGAGGGACTTCACAAGAAAATTATAAAAGATCAGTGAAAACAATTGTTAAAATCCACCAGAAACTTATGTTGAAATAGGTGTAGGTTACAACTGGGGGGGGGGGTGTTATTAAAAATCCAGAAGGTTCTGCTTACAGATTGCTTGACAAGCATCTCTTAGATATCTCTCTCCATTTGAAAGAAACCCACATGGGGACCATCAAACCTTTTGCACAGGTTTGTTTTATGCAAGAAAAACAAGGTAGGACTGTAGCCGGAGGCCTTGGTCTCAAAAAGCCTTGGCCCTCCTGCAAAAGATCATCTAATAAATATAACATGCCCACATGTTATGTTTAATATAATGTCTATTTATGTATTGTAAGATGTCCTGCTTTAAGTATTCTTTTTTTTTCTAGTAATAGACCACTAGTTTTGCTCTCATTGGATAGGAGATTTCTTCTATTAATAGTACTTACCTCATGGTGCGGATGTAAGGACTGAACAGGGTAACATATGCAAAGCATTTGGTGCAATGCCTGGTACACAGAAATGTTCTGCAAATATCAGCTATTATAGTTATCTTCAAATCCAGGCCTCCACTTGGCAGATGAGAAAACTGAGGTTCAGGGGACAAGTAACTTGCACACGGTCACAAAGTAAGCGAGTTGCATGCAGATCAAAGCCTACAAGTGGATCCTTGAATCCCAATCTGATTCCTGAATTCCCTGGGGTCTCTCCCCAGTCCCGAATCTCAGAGGGCTAACGCTTTCCAGAGGAAGAGTGGAGGGCAGGCAGCAGCGGGCAGGAAGAGCCCAGACAGAGGGTGGGGCCTTGGGCACCTCTCAAGAGCAGGTCCCCCACCCTGACCTCCCACCACCCACCCTACTCTGGGGGATACAGGAGTTCTCCCTCTAGTTACATTTATGTTAATTGCTAAGTTTATCATCTCAGTGGCCCCTCTGTGTTCCTTCACAGATCCTGTGTATTTTTATCTCAAAGAGCTTCATTCATGTCTTTAATTATTTGTCTCCACGGCTGTCTCCTCCAGCAGCCTGAGAGTCCCCGGGGAGAGGGCACCAGCTCTGATTCATCTCTAACCCCCCGAGCCCAGCCCAGTGCCTGGCACCAAGGGGCCACTTTACAGATGTTTGCTGAACAAACGAGCAACTGAACAAAAGTTAACTAACAGGGCGCCCGGATCTCCCGCTATCTCCACACTAGACTTCCTGGCTCGGGCAGTAGCAGAGACCTGGGAGACATGGCCCTGGTCTGCTGCCATCTGATTGCTTTTCCTCCTCCTCCATCCCTCCAGTCTCCTCTTCCCAGGGAGTCCCGAGAGACGTAGGTTGGGGGGGGGGGTGCAGACGCCGGGAAAGCCAGCCCGGGGCCGAGCTCTTCTCTTCTGGGATGGACGGGGTGTGCCGTGGGGCTCTGAGTTCTCTGAGTCACCTCCGCGGTGCCGTGGGCT